GGGGTCTCCAGGGTCACGCCCTGGGATGAAGGCAGGCGCTAAACCGCTGAGCCACCCGGGCTGCCCGATTTTTATTCTTTTAAATTTGTTAAGGTGTATTTTATAGCCCAGAATATGGTCTATATTGTTGAATGTTCTTTGTGAGGTTGAGAAGAATATATATTCTGTTGTTGGATGGAATATTCTGTTAATGTCAGTTAAATACAGTTGATTGATGGTGCTCTCCAGTTTGACCATATTCTTAACTGAATTTATGCCTGCTGGATCTGTCAGTTACTGTTAGAGGAGTTTTGAAGTCTTCAACCATGTTAGTGAATTTATCTCTTTTCCTTGCTGTTCTATCAAATTTGCCTTACATATTTTGACACTGTTATTAGGGACATACACATTAAGGATTGTTATGTCTTTTCAGAGATTAATCATTTTATCATTATATAATGCTTCTCTTTATTTCTCATAACCTTCCTTGCTCTGAAGTCTGCTGTATCTGAAATTAATATAGCTACTCCAGCTTTCTTTTGATTAGTGTTAGCATAGTATATCTTTCTCCATCCCCTTACTTTAATCCCTTTGTGTTTTTATATTTAAAATATAAATAGTGGTTTTAGTGGTTCCTTTTATACAACATATAGTTGGGTCTTATGTTTCTTCTCCAACCAGAATTGTAGAACTTCTGTAAGAAAATATATGAGGATATTTTCACATTACCTGGGGTAAGCAAAGATATTTTTAAAAGGATCACAAAAAAGCTACTATACAAAATTAGAAATTGGACCTTTAATAAAAAATTTTATTCATCAAAAGACACTTTTAAGAAAATTGATAGGCAAGCCACAGACTAGGAGAAAACATTTGCAAGATTTTTTTTTCTGACAGGGTTCATAACCATAATATAAAAAGACCGTTTACAAATTAATAAAAAGGAAAAAAAATAATAAAAATAAGGAACTTCTGGTTTCTGGTCTGACAGTAAAGAACTTTGAAGTAATTACTCCTGTCTTTACAACAAGAAGAGGGCTAAACAAAATTTAAAAACGCTTTTAGATCCATTGGAGAAATGAGGTTGTAGGGCAATCTGGTACCCCAGAATTATCTCTAATAGAGAAACAAATAGAGACTGTCACAGTTTATTGAAAGCAGAAGCTACTGTTGGAGCTTGGTAGGAGCACGGAAAGGTGATTGTATACTAGCTTCAGAGATAAAAAGATATCTGGGAGTCCAGGAAGTCCACCACTCTTCCATGAATTTAGCTTCAGGAGCCCTTCCAGATTCTCAGAGTGTGGATCACAGAAAAATACCAACAGAGAAAGAAAAAGATAACCAGTTTGAAATAAGGCCAGTGAGCTGTCTTCTAGCAAAATTTTGAATGAATCTCATTACTTTAACAGATGTCGAGCTATTAAGACTTTATTTCTTCTTGAGTCAGTTTTCATATGTTTTGTCAAGAACTTTGACCACTTTATCTGAGTTGTTGAATTTATTGGCATAAACTTATTTATAGTATTGTCCTGTCATCCTTTTAATGTCTATAGGATCTGTAGTAATGTTCATCATTGTCATTACCAATATTAGTAATTGATGATTTATATGACATGAAGCTTATCAATTTTATGGATATTTTAAAAAATCTAATATCTGAGTTTGTTTATTCTTTTGTTTCTATTTTTATTTTTATTATTTCCATTGCTGTACTTGGGGTTTAATTCTTTTTCTGTTTTCATAATGTTAGAAGTTTAGAACTGATTTTATGCCTTTTTAAAACTTTTCACTCATTGAAATGATTTGTATAGTAAATATGCTATGAGATAAGTGAATTTTAGGTTAAAATGCCTATAATCCCCTCCAAATGACTATAATTTCCTAGACATCAGTGTGTCAGTGTAAAGAACAAACAGACAAACAAAAGCTATAATGAAACTCAACTTCTATTGAAACATTTTCTCTAGGGTAGGAAAATGTATATTTTTAAAAGTAAAATGTACCCAAATATTATATATCACAATTCACTCTAAAATGTTAAAATCAATATATTTTTAAGCTTTTTAAAAAATTTAAGTAATCTCTATACCCAACATCGGGCTTGAATTTATAACCCCCAAGATTGAGTTGCATGCTCTTCCAACTGAGCCAGCCATATGCCTTTCTTTTTTGTTATAAACATTTAAAGTTATACATTTTCCTCTTAGAAGCGCTTTAGGTGTGGTTTTAAAATATTATTATCTTTTAAAAATATTTTCTTATTTTCCTTCCAAATATTTTACATATTTATTTGAGAGAAAGAGAGTGCAAGAGTGGAGGTAGGAGCAGAGGGAGAAGGATAAGTAGACTCTACACTGAGCTCAGAGCCTGATGTGGGGTTTGATCCCACACCCTGAGATCATGACCTGAGCTGAAATCAAGAGTCAGACACCCAACTGACTGTGCTGCCCAGGCAATCCTTATTTTCCCTTTTTTGAACTTTTGGTTTATTTACAAGTTTAAGCTTCAAACATTTGGAGGGGATTTTAAGGATATATTATCATCTTTATTATTAATTTCCAGTTTGATACTATTGGGTGAGTGAACATACTTTGTATAATTTCAAACCTTTAACATTTATTGAGATTGCTTAGTGACCTAGCATATCATCTGTCTTGGTGGATATTTCATATGTACTTGATGAGACTATGTATTTTACAGTTGTGGCTTTAGCATTCTAGAAATACCAGTTAGATCATGTTAATGTGAGAGCAGTGAGGTTTTCTTTTTCCGTAGTGTTTTTTTGTTGGCCAGTTCTATCAGGGATAAGAGAGGGGTGTTGAGTTTTCAACTATTGTGGTTCGTCTATTTTCCCTTTAGTTCTTTAGATTTTCCTTTATGTATTTCAAAGCTCTGTTATTAGATGCATTCATATTTATGATTGTTTTATATTCTCATTGATTAACTCTTGTGTCACATGAAATGTCCTTTTGTATCTTTGGTAATATTCTATGTCCTGAAATCAACTTTGTGTGATATTGATGTAATCATTTTAGTTATTCTAGCATGCTTATACTAGATGTGTCATGGTATATTTTTGACATCCTTTTACTTTTAATCCTACTCCTTACATTTAAAGTGTTTCTTATCAATAGTATATAGTTAGGTCTTACTTTTTTTCATCCAGTGGGCAATCTCTACTTTGTACATGGCGTTTTAGACTTTTTTTTTTAATTTTTAAAAAATATTTATTTATTTATTTTAGAGAGAGAGTGAGGGGGGTGGAGCAGGGAGTGAGAGAGAGAGAGAGAGAGAGAGAGAAACAGGAGGAGAGAGAGAATCACAAGCAGAATCCTCCCTGAGTGCAGAGCCCACCTGGGGCTTGATCCCAGGAATGTGAGATTATGACCAGAGCTAAAACCAGGAGCCAGATCCTCAACTGAGTCACCCAAGTACTGCTAGACCATTTATATTTATGTAATTATTATTATGATTGACTTTTCAAGTATCTTCTATTTGATACATTTCTTTCTTTCCTTTTCATGGTTGAGGTTTTTTTTTTTTTTTAGTTTATGTATATTTATCTCTATTCACTTACTAGGTATACATCTTTCTTTAACTTTTTAATGATTACCGAGAGCATAGTATTCATGTTTAGCTCATCACAGTTGACCTACAAATAATGTTATTTTATCAGCAATATAAGAAAGTTAGAACAATTGTATTTATTCCCATACTGTTTGTTGTGTTTTTATTATAATTCACTTGTAACCTACACATGCACACACAAATATATTAACCATAATTAAAACAGATTCTTTTATACTTATCCACTTAAACTTTTCTGTTCTTTTTTTCTTTTTGCAGATCCAGGGATCCTAGTGGCATAATTGCCTTTAACATGATAAATTTTGTTTAGTATTAATTGTAGTACATATCTGTCTGCTGAAGGAAATTTTCTTGTCTATCTGGAAATGTGTTTTTTAAATGTCTATTTCTGAACAGTAGTTTTATCGGATAGGGAATTCTGTTTTTTCAGAGGGTCCCCTTCCCTTAACAATTTAAATATTATGGGTTTGTATTTTTTTCTTTCATTTTCTGCTCTCCATTGTTTCTGTTCAGAAGCTCAGCTGTCATTCTCATTGGTGTTACAAGATTTGCAATTAGATCTTTTTTCCTTTGGCTACCTTTAAGATTTACTCTATGTATTTTGCTTTTGTAAGTTTGACTGTGATGTGCTTAAGTATGGTTTTCTTTGTAGTTATATTGCTTGGGGGTTTATTTAGCTTATTTTAAATCTGTGGGTTGGTAACTTTCATCAGTTTTGAAAAATTTGGGGCTCTTATCTCTTCATATATTTATTATTATTTTCTCTCTCTCTTTTCTTTTGGAAACTCTAGTTACATGTATGTTAGATCATTTAATGTTATCCATAATTTCTAAGAACTCCTCCTTTTCTCTTTTTGTTTCATGTTGGATAATTTTACTATATTTTACTAATTACTGTAACCCATTATGTCATTCAGTATGTATTTGTTGAGTTGAAAATAAATCACTCTGTGGCTTTTCACTTGGTTTTGTGATATTTAATATTATTTCTAAGTGCTTTAAATAGTGTAAAATTTTCAAAAAAAGTCCTTAAAATACATTTTATTTTAACTTGAATTAAATCTGTACTTTTTTGATGTGATGATCTGTGGATCAGAGAGATATGAAAGCACATATCAAATAACTAAATATTATAATTAAAATTTTTGCAACATATACATTTAAAATATTGTGATGACTATGTTAATGCTTATGATGTTACAGATTTAGGTGAAATGAAATAAGGAAACTGTATGCTAGTGTAAGTCATGAATTTTCAGTCTGCAAACTTGTTTATGTGGTTTTATAGTTTGTGGTTAGTAAGTAGAAATAAATGTTAATTTTACTTATTTTTTAACTATGTGTCCTTTTTGATTGGAGTGTTTGATTAAATATTTTAACTTGAAAATTAATGTAATAGCTTTTTATAGAGTTTTTTTCTTAACTTTTCACAGGTATTATTCTGCTCTAAAAACTATGGAACAGTTAGAGAATGTATATTTTCCCCGAGTTAGTCAATACCGCTTTTGTCAGCTAATGATAGAAAATCTTCCTAAACTCCGTGAGGATATTAAAGAAATCTCCATGTCTGATCTCAAAGACTTTTTGGAAAGCATTCGAAAACACTCTGACAAAATAGGTGAAACAGCAATGAAACAGGTGAGCTTAAAAAGGAAAATTTTAATTTGATGTTATTCAGTAGTCTAAATTATAGAATATACCCAGAGTTTACTTGTTTTTAGTTATATAAAATGCTTATTTTTGTTTAGTTTTATCCTTTTCATATCTTTCCTGAATTTTGTTTTGAATGGATTTAGTCATCATTTTCTTTTGGTCTGTAGCTCTTCCATATTTAAGTAAGGTCAGCCTATTGACTCACCAGCCTGTTTGTCTCTTGGGAATCTTCCCATGTATGTGGTATTACATTAACTTTTGCCAGCAGTCAAATTTGGTATAAAATTAGCTGAATAGGCAGCCTGGGTGGCTCAGCGATTTAGCGCCACCTTCAGCCCAGAGCCTGATCCTGGAGACCCAGGATTGAGTCCCATGTCGGGCTCCCTGTATGGAGCCTGCTTCTTCTTCTGCCTGTGTCTCTGCCTCTCTCTTTCTGTGTCTCTCATGAATGGATAAATAAAATCTTAAAAAAAAAAATTAGCTGAATGGCAGCCACAGGGGCAAACGATATTCCTTTTACCTTAAGGTTCTAAATTGCTCTTTTTAAAAGTATTATCTTTGAATTGGCAACTTCTATAGCTCAGTAATAAAAAGACAAGGCAGTGGACAAGATTTGGCAGTTATTACTTTCTTTTTAAGATTTTATTCATTCATTCATGAGAGACACAGAAAGAGAGGCAGAGACATAGGCAGAAGGAGAAGCAGGCTCTCTCCCTGCAGGGAGCCCGAGGTGGAAGTCGATCCCCGGACCAGGATCACGCCCTGAGCTGAAGGCAGACACTCAATTGCTGAGCCACTCAGGTGTCCCAAGATTTGGCAGTTATAAAATTAACGTACCTTCCTTTTGAATCAGCAGTTCTTCTCCTAGATAATTCCCATTAGAAATGAAGAACACGTGTCCTTGTAATGTTCATAGCAGCTTTGTTTAGTTAGCCCAAAACTGGAAACAGCCCAAATGGACATCAAAAGGGGGATGTATACACAAATTGTGCTATATAAAAATACAATGGAATATTACTTAGCAATAAAAAGGAATGAAATTATTGGTATGTACAAAAATATTAATCTCAGGCATTATGCTGAGCTACAGAAGCTGGACACACAAAAAAGCACAGATTGTATGACTCCATTTATATTGTAGTTCTACAGCAGGCAAAACTAATTAAAGTGAAAAAAATAGAGCAGTGGTTACCCTTAGGTGGGGTGATTGCCTGAGAAGGGACACAAAAGGACTTTCTGAGGAGATAGAAATGTTCTGTCTCATGATAAAAATTGTACAGTTGACAAAATTATACAGTTAAGATCTGTACATTTCAATGTATATAAATCTGACCTCAATTGTAAAAAAATAATTGGAGTGTGTGTGTGTGTGTGTGTGTGTGTGTGAAGTGAGTAGGTAAAGGTAGATAGATGAAACAATGTGTAAGTATTAATTGCTGAAGGTAGGCGATGAGTACTTGAGAGTTTGTTATATTAATCTGTTTATATTTGAAGTTTTCAGTAATAAAAAGTTTTAAAATGATTATAACTTAAAATTTCTGAGTTAAAATTCCCAATAATCACAGTGTCATAGAAATAAAACAGTGTTCAGCATGCTTTCTAACCCTTAGTTTTCTTTTCTCAAGTATCAGAACCTATTTTAGAGGAGAAGCTTCAGGTTTGGCGAGGTGGGCAGAGGGATGTGTGCTGGTTGGGACCTGAGCACACAGCCAGAGAGTGTGCCGCAGGCATAACCTTCTCTTCCTTCTCTGGCCAGGGCTTTCTGAGAAGATTTGACCTGATTTGATTTGATTTTGTAATTAAAGAAATGTATCTGTATCAGACTGTTGTCACAACAGAGAAAATTAAAATTCAGTATAAGAACTTCCTCCCTACTTTATCTTTTTAAAGAATTCTGTATAAACCAGATAATCTCTTATATTCCTATTGTTTCAGCTTTGCACAGTGGTCTATGTTAATTTAAGAGATGTAATAAATTTGTTTAGTAAATTGTTTACTTTGAGGATGTATAGATTTTGAAAATTCTTTATCAGGATCACTTTAATAATAAATCAAAACATGTAATAATGTAGGACTTGTACAATAATGTTTTTAAAAGTTTTAAGAATTTCCTGTTAATTGCTGCTTATCAGTGGATGGACTGTAGCAGATCTGATCTTCAAATTATTTTTGATAGTATCTTTTGTTCAGATTGAATACTTGGTTGATTAAAAAAAATGCATTTATTTGCTGTAAATAAACAGAAGCTACAAAAGAGAATTTAAGCCAAATTTATTTCCTGTCTTTTTTTGGAAGCTAGGCCTGAGGCCATTTTCCCTACCATTGGAATGATGGAAATATGGTTAGTTGTGGGGAGGAGCATAGGAAAAGAAACAGTAAAAGTATTGACCAGCAGGTTAAAGTTGGAATTTCAGAGTAGTAATCTGGAAAAGATAAAGGCTAAGTTAAGTGTAAGAGAATGAGATTTGAAGCCAGAGTTCAGAAGAATCCAGAGATTCTGAATCTAGAGACTGTCATTATCCCAGAGAACTACATAGGTTAGGAAAGCCCTAGGAAAGTAGAACTAAAAGATTGGATATTACCTCACTTTTAAGGTAGAATAAAGTGTGGGATTTCATAGCTTTTCTCTGAAGTAATCATCTTTCTCCTCCATTGTTGACACTTCAAGATACAAATAGAACATGCATTTTATAATAAAATGAGAATTAGGGGAGCTTCTGATTCTTTTTGTAGCACCTCCCATTTCTTCTCAGGATACTAAGTGTTTCTGCCTGATTGCTTCTGATTAGTGAGGTTTTTTTCTGCACTAGAGAGTTCTGCAACATTAAATTCTCGTCTTCACCATCACAATGCTTTTGGTACTTGAAAAAGTACCTAAGTCTGGACAAGGAGTTCTCTGTATGCCATGAGAATAAAAAACACAATCACTTGGTAAGGTTTTTTTCAGCACATGTGTAAATTATAGTTTAAAATTCATGTTCTATTATACAGTCTAAGTTTCTTTTTTTTTTTCAGTCTAAGTTTCATTATTAAACTTATCCTCACTGACCTGTTTTTCATAACCAGTTTTGTACCTTCTGCCTAGGCAGTCCACCAAGTCATGGGCCCTGGGATTTGAGGTTTATGAGAATTTCCTGCTGAAAGGGAATATACTCTTCCTAGTTTACTTCCATTACTTTCTTGTAAAAAGAATCAAGCCCCCTACCTCTGCAACTTAAAGAGACCTTTCATTGCAGAAACCTTTCCTATTCATGTCTTTTTTTTTTAAATTTATTTGCTGGGGGGTGGGGGGCGGGAGGGTGGGGTGGGGAGGGTGAGCAGGAGCTGAGGAGGGAGAGGGACAAGCAGGCTCCCCACAGTGCAGGGAGCCCATGTGGAACTCTATCCCAGGACCTGGGATCATGACCTGAGCCGAAGGCAGATACTTAACTGACTGAGCCACCCAGGCGCCCCTAATCATGCCTTAATTCCATTATCTTTTGTCCTATTTGTGGATTTACTTGTTATATATTCACTTGAATATCCTGTAGGCACATCAAACCTAGCATTTCTAAAAGTAAACTCACTATATTCTTAAAAAATTGATTTTTCCTATATTTCTTATATCACATTGTAATATGTCTTACTGTCATAAGCCAGAAACTGGGGAGTACTTTAGACTTTTCAGGAGTATTTATATTCTTTATGTAATTTGTTTCTAAGTCCTACTTGGTAACTGTCAATTCTGCTTCTTAATATCTGTAGATTCTGTGTCCTCCTTTCTACATACCTGGACTGTTGTTACATCAAATTAACTATTCCCTTATCTCTAGTCTTTTCTCCTTTTGCTTATTATTCTAAAATGCAGATATGACTACTTTCTCTTCAGTGATTCCCAGTGACCCTTTACCTAAATCTAAATTCTTCAGTATGAAACAAAAGCCTCACCTCCTGATATTCCTTCTTCTTGTGATATAACAGTATTGGATCTCTTAAAATTTCTGAACGTACAATTTGTTTCCTCTACGTAGAATGCTTTCCATTTCCCCAAATTTCATGTCTGAAGAATTCCTGCCTTTTTCCCCCAAAATAGGCTCGCTTAAGCATCACCTTGTCTTTGGAATCTGCCTTCCTTTGTCCTACTTCTGCTAGCAAAAGATGGTCACTTTCTCCTTGGTGTATATATCCCTTATACTTTTCACACTATATTATAATTATTTATTTTGTATCCTAACTAGACAGTGAGGTCTTTTTTTTTTAAAGATTATTTATTTGAGAGAGAGAGAGCATGTGAGAGCAAGCATGAGCAGAAGGGAGGAGCAGAGAGAGAGGGAGAAGCAGACTCTCCACTGAGCAGGAAGCCTGATGTGATGCGGGGCTCTATCCCAGGACCTCAAGATCATGACCGGACCAAAGGCAGATGCTTAATCAACTGAGCCACCCAGGTGCTCCTAGACAGGGAGTTTTTTAAGTGAGGGATTATGTCCCATTTATTTTTTACCTTTCTGGGATCTAGTACCATGCCTAAAATGAGTGACAAAAAAAGTCATTTTTTTGAAGGATCTTAGAGCTGAGTTTTAGCTTCTCCAGGGAGGATTTTTTAAACTAAAAAAACAGGCTTTTTTTTTTAAACCTTTTTTTAATGTGAGAGATGAATCCACTATGAGTAGTCAGATGTTTAAAAACTAAAATTCATGGTCTCAGTTCATATTTTCCATATTATATTTTCTAGTATACATTTTAATAATATCCTTTAGGAGAAAGTAGGAGACTAAATGGTCAAATAAGTCTGGGTTAAAGTTAAGTATATTTCTGTAGTTCTGAATTATAAATCTAGAAAGGGGATACAATATAGGATGCTTATTTAAATTATTTGAGCAGGGGATCCCTGGGTGGCTTGGCGGTTTAGCACCTGCCTTTGGTCCAGGGCATGATCCTAGAGTCCCAGGATTCAGTCCCACCTTCAGGCTCCCTGCATGGAGCCTGCTTCTCCCTCTGCCTGCGTCTCTGCTTCTCTCTCTCTCTCTCATGAATAAATAAATAAATAAAATCTTAAAAAAATAAAAATAATTTGAGCATAGAACCTTTTTTTCAAGATATAGATACTATGAAATATTAGTTTTCTACATAACAAATTTGGAAGCAGTGCTTTTAAAAAATGATTTGTACTCTGGAAACAGAAAGCCATTAACAGAGTTAATTTGGACAGCTTGATAACTGTAGTTCCTTCTGTGAGGTTAGTGGACATTTCATAGAATTGGGATTTTAGCCAGAGAGGGAACCAGTCCCTTCTACCAACACATATATGCCAACTCAGAAAGTAAATGATCCAGTGTAACTTCAGAGCTTCAGAAAATTAAACATTTTTTCATTACTGTTACTCCATTGAAGTTAAGGCAGGATATTTTATGTACATTCATACATGTGTCATTTCTTTTTTAATTTTTCTGGTATTTTAAATTTTATGTGGCTGGTTTTTCACTTAAAAAAGAATTAGTGATTATTTTTAAAAAGTGACAATATTCCAACCAAAGGTCATTAAAATAATTGGATCCTTATTTGACTTGACTTATTGAAATGAAGAGGAGTATACTGTTTGGTAATTGACATAAAGCTAACTCTAGGATAGGAAACAAAGTCTAAGTAATGGAACTATTAGATATGGACTTTAAAATTTGCATAGTCAAGGAATTATAAGACATGCTTGAGAATTTTGGCAGATCATTGGAAACCATAAAGCAAACCATCTGTAAATTCTAGAACTGAAAATACGTTACAAATTAAGAACTCAGTGTGTGGTTGACAGAACATGTTAGACATAGCTGACAAGAGAATTAATGAGCCAGAAGTTAGGTCAGAGGAAAATATCCAAATTGAGGCTCAAAGAGACAAGAGGATGGAAAGTAAAGAGTTTAAGGACATATAGATAAGATAGGAAGATTTAACATATGTAATTATAGCCCCAGAGGAAGAAGAAAGAGATGGACATAAATATAGCAGATCTTAAAGCTATCGTTTCAAAAAGTTCATTGAATTTGAAGCAGGAGAAATACAAAAACCCCATATTTAGGCATATGATAATAAAATGTTAGAAAAATAAGGAAAAGAAGAAAAATTATCTTAAAAGCAACCAGAGGGAAAAATTTATTGCCTTCAAAAGAATAGTAATAATACTAATATTTAGCTGATGTCTCAGCAAAATTAATGGAAGCCAAAAGATAGCTGATAATATCTGAACTGTAGATAAACCTTATCTGTCAACCTAGAATTGTTTACCTACCAAAAATATCTTTTAGAAATGGAGGTGAAATGGGAGTGCCTGGCTGGTTCAATTGGTAGAACATGTGACTCTTGATCTCTTGGGTTTGTGAGTTTGAGCCTCATGTTGGGGGTTAGAGTTTATTTTAAAAAAAAATGGAGGTGAAATGAAGATATTTTTTCAGATAGGAACCTAGAGAATTTATTTCTAGCAGGCCTACATAAAGGAATTATTATTTTCAGACAAAATTATCTCAGAAATTCAGAGATGTAGCAAATAGGGCAACTATTTTGGGTAAAATTGCATATATTACATGGCTATAAAAAACAAAACATTTTGTGGGGCTTACATATTTATAGAATTAACAGTGCAAAACAACACAGATGTAGAAACAGCACAGATGTACATTGACAGATGAATGGATTAAGAAAGTGCAGTATATATACATACAGTGGTGTAGTATATTATTCAGTCCTTAAAAGGAAACTATGAGGTATCTAAAATAGTCCAGTTCATAGAATCAAAGAGTGGAATAGTGGTTGCCAGGGACTGGGAAAAAGGGAAATGAATTACTAATCAGTAGGCATAAAGTTTCAGTTAAGCAAGATGAAAAAGCTCTAGAGGTCTGCTGTACAACATTGTACCTCAGTCACCAATGATATATTATTAATATATTAATATTAGTATATGTTAATTATGTAATAATACATATACATAAAACATGAGACTAGATCTCATGTTAAGTGTACTTACCACAGTAAAATGAAATTTAAAAAAGAATGGAAGAAGATAATCAAGAGTAGAAATCAATATAATAGAAAAAAAATACGTTAGGGAGGATCAACAACGCTGAAAGTTGATTCTTAGTCTTTTTTCAAATAATACTGATAAGCCCTGGCACAACTGTTCAGAAAGAAGAGTGAAAGCATAAATAAAAAATGAGACATCATTCCAGATCCTACACCCAAAGGCATTAGAAAGATAGGAAAATATGAAATTCTTGAGCCAATTTTATACCAGAATAAATTTTATAATCTGAAGTTTTCCTTTTTCCAAAATAGGCACAGCAGCAGAAAACCTTCATTGTTGCTCTGCAGAAGCAAAATAATGTAAAATTTGGGAAGAATATGTACATAAATGATAGAATTCCAGAAGAAAGGAAAGAAATTGAATTGAAACAAGGATTTGAGGAAGAGGATGAGAATGAAGAGGAGGTGATGGGAGTTCCTTCCTTTTTCCCTCTCTCTCTCCCTCACTCTTTTTCTTCTAACCTTCTTTTTTTTTTCATGAATTTTTTTCTTTTGAGTTGTCATGTATGTCTGTGTGACTCTCAGTGTTCCCATGTGCAAATTGAATTTATATAGATCAATTTGTGATGAGCTATTAGAGCAGTGTGTCATATGAAATATTAGACTGCATAATTGAGAGGTAAACAGGATATATTCTAGATTATATTAAATAAGCCATAGATAGTTGATCCTAGGTATTCTGCCATATTAACAGTAATATTGTAAATGTAATGATTTTTTTGTAGTGATCACTCATTTTAATTATCTGTGGCAAACATTTAATTTCATGATGGGCTTGGCTTTGCTGTTTAGACTAATTCTGGAAAGCCTGTCTTTTTTCCCCCAGTTAGTATTGAGATATTGCAAAAATGGTTCAAATGTGATTAAAGTTTTTTAATCTTAAAAAAGTCTTAAGTCTAGAAAACTTGAAATTATCCTTAAGTATTCACTTTCTTTCATCTTTGGTATCCAGATTTATTCCTTTTTTAAAAATAATTTTTAAAAAAGATTTTATTAATGAGAGACACAGAGAAAGAGAGGCAGAAACACAGGTAGAGGGAGAAGCAGGCTCCATGCAGGGAGCCTGACATGGGACTGGATCTGGGGTCTCCAGGTTCACGCCCTGGGCTGAAGGTGGCGCTAAACCGCTAAACCACCTGGGCTGCCCTCCAGATTTAATCCTAATCTTTCTTGCTTCTTTTACTCTCTACACAAAGTCTCTGTCACCTGACTTTTTACCTTTTCCTTTGAGTATGTATGTTTCTACTATATGCCTGAGGATGAGTGAGACTATATGTATTTCTTGTGTGTGTATATGCACACATGTGTATATGTGAATGTGTGTATGTGTGCATATGCAGTGGATGTCTGATATTGTACGGGATATAGACAAATGAACTGCCTTAGACAGTATAATGTCTTTTTGTTTGTTTGTTTTTTAAAGATTTTATTTATTCATGAGAGACACAGAGAGAGAGGCAGAGACACAACACAGGCAGAGGGAGAAGCAGGCTCCATGCAGGGAGCCCAATGTGAGACTCGATCCTGGGACTCCAGGATCACGCCCTGGGCCGAAGGCAGACGCTCAACCGCTACGCCACCCAGGCATCCCTATAATGTCTTCTTAATATGGAATTAGCGTGTTCTGGTTAGTCTCTGGAAAATAAATGTTTTTGAAATTTACTTTTTTATTCTTTTTTTAATCAGTATTCAAAGAATCTCTGTTCTCTTCTCCCAAGCATGTTGAAGACAAGTCTCTGTCCTTTAATGACCTTATAATTTAAAACACTCAACAATGATGATAAATACATAAGAATGAACTATTGAACAAATACCAAAATAATTACAAAGGCATTGTGTTTATACTGTAATGTTTTTATAGTTGATAAATATAACATGAAGTCCATGATTCCGTGTCTGTCTTTAACTTATATTACCCAACAGTAAGCCAGTAGTTTGATAATTTTTATTTTTTTTATTATTTAAAAATTTATTTTGAGAGTGGGGAGGGGCAGAGGGAAAGGGAGGATCTTTTTTGATAGAGAGTGAATGTAGGTGGAGAGTGGGTGGGGAGAGGGAGAGGGAGAGGGAGAGAAGGAATCTTAAGCAGGCTCCATGCCCATTGTGGAGCCCGTTGTGGGATTCAATCCCATGACCTTGAGAGTATGACTTGAGCTAAAATAGGGTCAGATACTTAACCAGCTGAGCCACCTAGGCATCCCAACTTTGATAATTTTTAAAATGTGGTTTTATTTTTCAGATCTTAACTGTTCAGGATCTGGTTGATTTTTCCCCTGTTTACCGATGTTTGCACATTTATTCTGTTTTGGTGAGTATCTTTCGTATATGTATTTTGTGTCTGTATATCCACATAAGTATTTGTATAATAAAAAAGACATGTATGCATTCTAGGGCTGCTTTTCTAAAGGTTGACCATAAGCTCAGTGAACATAAATATTTTAAATATCCTCTGTGAGTAAGGCACTTACTCTTTTAAGTTATCATAGTCTGCTTTTAAGTGATACATCACTTCATCTTTATTATGAGAACCTTATACAATAGTATACTTATAATAGTATACTTCCATTTTATTCTTCTTGCATATGCACTGTGTTGTATCACAGTTGCTTTTAAATATATTGCTTCTACATTTGTTTACTCTTTTTACATTGCATTTTTGATTAAACAATTCTTTAAAAAATAACATTATTTTGATATAATTAATATACCAAAAAATTTACCCTTTTAATGTATACACTTCAGTGGTTTTAGCATATTTATGAGGATGTGCAACTATTACAGTTAATGCCAGAACATTCCATTTCTGAAGAAGGAAACCTTTTTTTCTTTAAAGATTTTATTTATTTATTCATGACAGACACAGAGAGAGAGAGAGAGAGAGAGAGAGAGAGGCAGACACAGGCAGAGGGAGAAGCAGGCTCCATGCAGGGAGCCTGACGTGGAACTCAATCCTGGGTCTCCAGGATCACACCCCAGGCTGAAGACGCGCTAAACCGCTGGGCCACCAGGGCTACCCTGAAGAAGGAAACCTTTTACCAATTAACAATCACTCCTCAATGTCCCCTACCTCTAGTCCTTGGCAACCACTCATTTACTTTCTTTCTCTATGGATTTGCCTGTTCTGGATATTTCATATAAATAGAATCATAGTAAATATGGTCTTTTGTGTCTTAGGCTTTTTTCACAAAGTTGGAAGTTAAGGTCATTGATTGAGATCTTTCTTCTTTTTTAATACAGACATTTATAGCTATAAATTTCCTTCTAACCACTGCTTTAGCAGCATTCCATGAGTTTTGTTTGGTGTGTTGTTTTTGTTTCCATTCATCTTAAAATATTTTCTAATTTATTGTTATTTGTTCTTTAATCCACAGGTATTTAGGGGTGTGTTGTTTAATTTCCATATGTTTGTGAATTTCCCAAAAGTTTCTCTGTTACTAATTCCAAATTTAATCTTACTGTGGTCAGAGATCATATTTTGTATGACTTCAGTCCTTTTAAATTTACGGAGGCTTGTTTTATGGCCTAACATATGGTTTATCTTAGAGAATGTTCCATGTGCACTTGAGAAGAATGTGTATTTGGCTGTTGTTGGGTGGTATGTTCAGTAGACACCTATTAGGTCCAGTTGATTTAATATTGTTATTCAAGTCTTTGGTTCCTTATTGATCTTCTATCTGTTATTGAAAGTGGTAATACTGAAGTCAACTATAACTGTTGAATTTTTTTCCTTTAGTTTTGCCAGTTTTGATTCATATATTTTTGAGGCTTTGTTTTTAGATGAATATATGTTTATAATTATTATATCTTCATGATGGACTAGCCTTTTTTCATTATAAAATGTCATTCTTTGTGTATTTTTTTGGCTTACAGTCTGTTTTGACTGATATTTATGTAACTACTCTAACTCTCTTTTGGTTACTGTTGGCCTGGTATGTTTTTCCATCCTTTTACTTTCAGTATCTGTGTTTTTAAATATAAAGTGCATCTCTTGTAGGATAGCATATAGATGGATTTTTAAAAATCCAGTCAGCCAATTTCTACCTTTTGTTTAGTTCTTTTACATTTAATGTAATTACTGATATGACCAGATTTATGCCTACCATTTGCTTTAATATTACTTATATCTTTTTTGTATTCCTCCATTACTGTCTTCTTTTGCATTAAATAGACACTTTCTCATGAACCAATTTAATTCTCTTGTCATTTAATATATATGTAATATATATTAGAAACATAAATATATAGATATATGTTATATATAAATATGTAATACAAACATGCAAAATTTATAAATAAATATATAATAGTTAACATATATGTACACACACATAATATATAGAGTATTTTTTAGTGTTTGCCCTGGACATTCTACCTTAAAACAATCTGGTTTGTATTAATTCTCCTCCTTGCTGTAATTATTGAGATACTTAATACATCTTTATATATTATAAAGCATGATATAATTGTTTCTTTATGGAATTGTTTTCTAAATCAGAAGACTGGAGTTACAAATTATACTGTCTTTGTATTTACCTCTATATCACCTTAACTGGTACCCTATTTCTTCACGTGAATTAGAGTTACTACCTAGTGTCCTTTTATTTTTGCCTGAAGGACTAACTTTAGTATTTCTTTTAGGGAAGGTCAACTAGCATCAAATTCTCTCAGTTTTTGTTTATCTGGGAATGACTTAATTTCTTCTTTGCATTTTAAGAGTAGTTTTGCTAGATACAGAGTTTTTGGTCTTTTTCTTTCAGCACTTAGAAAATGTCTATGGAAGGCATTTATATTTAAGGCATTTTGAGGTTTGGATATTCACTGAAATTGGATTAATTTGAAATTGAAATAATTGATGGGGCACCTGGGTGGGTCAGTCAGTTGAGCCATCTGCCTTTGGCTTGCGTCATGATTCTGGGGTCCTAGGATTGAGCCCTGCATCGGGCTTTTGCTTAGAGCCTGCTTCTCCCTGTCATTCTGTCTGCCTCTCTACCTGCTTATGCGCGCACTCTCTCTCTCTCTCTCAAATAAATAAAGTCTTTAAAAAAAGAAATAGAAATAATTGAAAAAAATGGTAATTATGTTAATTAGAGCAAATAGAATTATCTTCATTAGTTAACATCTTTTCTTTTAGCCCCCTATTAAAAGACAGCTCTATACTCATGAGCTGAGTAAAAACAATAAGCACAATATCAATGTGAACTTACTGTTTTACAAATTAATGATGTTTCAAGTGTATTGAGCCTTATTGAATAATGTAAAAATTGTTTTCTTTTTAAAGCTATAATAAATTGTACTATTGAATAAAAACAATAATGCTTGTAGTCTGTTCTATGATGAAATAATTCTTCAAATGTGTATGGTTATAAAGTAATTTAACTGCTCGGATTCTTCTCAGATTTAGCATTTTATCTTTTATAACATCAGGTAGTAGTATATACATTTAACTGCATTTATACCTGAGGCAAATAGAGGGTGGGATCCATCAAGATTACACTGCTATATGTAGTAACATTGAAAAATTGGCTTCCTGGGCAGCCCAGGTAGCTTAGTGGTTTAGCGCCGCCTTCAGCCCAGGGTGTGATCCTGGAGACCTGGTATGGAGTCCCACGTCAGGCTCCCTGCATGGAGCCTGCTTCTCCCTCTGCCTGTGTCTCTGACTCTCTCTCTCTCTCTCTGTCTTTCTTTCTCTGTGTCTCTCATGAATAAATAAATAAAAATCTTTAAAAAAAAAAAAGAAAAAAGAAAAATTGGCTTCCAGTTGTCTGATCTCAATTTTTTTTTTTTTTTTGCTTTGTTTTGTTTCTAAACTAGATCATACTGGCTTCTAATCAAGATGAAGTCCTTAATTATCTCATTTGTTAAAGTGGCTTGTGTGGTTTGATTCTTTTAAAATCTCCTTTCAAATTAGATGTTTTCCTATAGGTTTTTGGATTTGGCGGAGAAGAATGCTTTTTGGCTTGATAATGATTAATTTTTCTGTCCTTTATGGGCCCAGTGAACTGCAGAGTGCCCAGAGGCACTTCTGTTACTTTGTATTATCCTTCTTCTACATCCATATGATCCACAAAGATAGTGGCCCTATGAGTGTTGTTTATTGTTCTTTCCCTAGTGCTTTTCATTGCATTTGATATTTCATAAAGTTTTGCTAAATTAGTAGCTGGCTCTTTAACACCACACTCAATTTTTAATAAAATTGTTTTATTTATCTTTATCCTGATATTTTATATCAATAGGCACTAAGCTCTTTGCGAAAGAATAGATCTTTATACCTGATGCAAAAAAGTATTGAGCCAACAGATATTATATGAGGTTTCAGTGTGGCTTCCTTGAGAATGATACATTAGGTATTAAATTTTGTTTCTTTGTTTATGGTTTAAAATTAAAGAAACAAGCATAATTAAATGATCAAAAGAATTAAAAGTCAGTGGTAGAGAACCAATAGAATGATAGAAGGTTTTAGACTCCAGTCAGCCTTTGTGAGTATTCAGAAATAATGTGATTCAAATACTTAAATACTCAAAATAAATAATTACTTTCAGAATTTATGTTACTGAAATTAACTGTTGGTTTATAATTTTCAGTAACTTTAGTTCTCTGTAGATTTTTTGTATCTTTATAATATACAGAATTTATAAATTTAAGGAAGCTGAATTTTAAAATATGTCAGTTTTCATTAATGCAGGCAGGACTTTTTTTCCTTTCTTACTGTGTGAGGTTTTACTGTACTGTATGTGTAAATAAACTTTCATTAGCGTGAAAACTTCTGGTTGGTATATATGACCTAAAATTGTAAAAGTAAAATGACCAAAATTTGTTAAATCTGTTTCCTTATTATTATTATTATAATTACTTTCTTTTTTCTTTAAAGATTTAATTTATTTATTCATGAGCGATACAGAGAGAGAAAGAGAAAGAGAGAGGCAGAGACATAGGCAAGGGAGAAGCAGGCTCCATTCAGGAAGCCAGATTTGGGACTCGATCCCAGGACTTCAGGATCATGCCCTGAGCCAAAGGCAGACACTAAACCGCTGAGCCACCGAGGCATCCCTATTTAATTACTTACATTTGTTATTTCATTTAAGCTATTTTCTACTAGTAACTGGGCAAATTACTTTTCTCGGTTGATTTTCTTATTTGCAAAATATGACTTAACAATTTATAAAGCTATGTTGGGTATTAAAGTAAATAAAAATAATAAAGTGCTTTAGCATAGGACTCAGTATATAGTATCACTCAGGTAATGATAAAAGGATTATTGTAGGAGGGTTTCATTAATATATAGTATTTGAAGGACTAGGTCATGTTTTA